TTGAGGTCCCTTCCAACCCAAAGCATTCTATAAATATTCAAGATAGTGTTTGTCTTTTTAAGTGTAAAGCCCAGAAACTCTTTCACTGAAATAACAGCATTATTCCTGTGCTTTAAGATGACATGTTGCCTGATTTTTTTTTTAAAAGCTTTTAATATAATTTACAGGAAAAAAAAAAGGAACCAAAAAAACCCCAGGTGGTTTCAAGCATAAGCTGTGCTCACAGCAGCTTATGTGCGCTCTTGGAAGGCTCTGTTTTAACTTGCCTAAAGTAACATAAATTTTTCAAAGTATGTTTGTGTTCTTACCAAGATGGTAAAACACTGGGCAGTGAGGACTACTGGGTGTAGGAGGATTCCTGTTGCTAGAAGTTTGATGATGACATTTGAGATCTCTTGGGCTGAAATACCGCAGAAAGATGAGTGGAGTCTTCATAAAGTTTGGAGAGTTTGTTCCAACTCATTCTGGACAAAGAGGCTTTATCTCCTGTAATGGCTTATATAAAGAATTAAGAATGTTGTACCGCTTCTTCGTGATTTTACCTGATCTCTCAGAACAAAGAAGGTCCTTGCAGTGGCAAGGACCAGCATTTAGATCTCAACACTCACCAAGTAGTCTCTTGCTCAGTGGCCAGCCAGGAGTCTGTGTGTCACTACTGATGGGTGCTGCTTTCTGCTTCTGCAGGTTTTCATTTCTGTGAACTGCCTCAGCACAGATTTCTCCTCTCAGAAGGGAGTTAAAGGCCTGCCCCTGAATCTTCAGATCGACACCTACAGCTACAATAACAGGAGTAACAAACCTGTCCACAGAGCCTACTGCCAGATTAAAGTCTTCTGCGACAAGGTAAGGTTGGATCAGTATGCCAGTGACCTTTTGGAAAAGGTTGTTCCACAGTTTACCAGCTTTTTTTTTTTTTTTTTTTTCTTTTTTTTTTAATTTTTTATTTTGACTCTAATTCTGTCACTTGCTGTTTTGGCTCACTGAAAACTCCCATCTGTGTTCAGCCTTTGCAAGGAAAAAAATTCAACCCCTTCTACTTGGCTCATAGGTGTTATGATGACCTCAGATAAATCTGCTGTGCTCAAAATGCTGGAGCGCTGAGAAGTGTTCCTGAGCATTGGCTTTGGAGAAAGGTCAGCCAGTGGCAGAAGACTGACTGTTGGTCTCCAGACACTGGAAAGTCCTGCCGAGTGCTTTCAGTAGGAGAAATCATTGCAATTGATTGGAGCAAGTGGAGGCTTGTCTTTTTGCCCCAGCTGTGTGTTGGTCCTTTTAAATTTCTTCATGGGTTCTTACTGCATTTGTTATAAAAACAAAACAACCTCGTAATTTGCACATATTGTGAACAGAAAATGTTGCTGCTTTCATTGTACTGCCGTGAGATACAGCAGTATAATAAAAGCCATTTACAAGCTGGATGGGTGCTGTAATTTGACTGCTCTGCCTAATGCATTTAGCACACAGCGAATTAACACCTTTCCCAAAGCCACTGCTCACCAGAAGCTGTGAAAGAAACAGGAGCTGAGCTGAAAGCAGTTGTAAAAGCTTAACTGCATTTGCAAAGAAAGGACCTTTCCCAGTCTTTGTAACCTGTTCCTGCCTGAGCAGTCTTTTGAAGGACCAGAGCAAGTAATGTGCAATGTTGCTGTTTCCAGCGTGACCAAGATCTTCCTAGGCTGGGGTAAATGCTGCCTCGACTTTCCCAGTTCTTCTTCTGATTGCTGTGAGCCACACCAAGTTCCTGTTTTGCTACCATCCTGCTTAATTAGGGCCTCTCATTCTTTGCATCCAGACTCCCATCTTCATGGCGTGGACTCTGTGGGTGATATCTCAAACACCTTTCTGCAGCTGCAGGTCTAAGGCAGGCTCGTGACCCCCACTCTTGAGTCCTGTGCTAGCTTTGCAGTGGTTACATACTGTGTGATCTTGCCTTGTTGTCATCCCCCAGGACAGTGCTATAAAGATTAATCTCCTGTGCCATTGCTTCGCCTCCACTTACCTCCCAAAATACATGGAGCCCTTTACAGTCTGCCTCTGCTGGAGCATCTCATTGGCCCATCCCACCACGTTTTATTGTCCATCTACATGCTTTTTAAATAGGCCCCTCTGCTTTCCTGCGTGGCTGCAGCTGCCTGCCAGTGTAAAGCTACTTAGTCATCTTCCTTCAAGTGCCTCCTGAGGTGGCTCCTGTTGTGATGATTTCTGCAAAGAATTTACCAGGGAGTTAACGAATGCTCTCCAGACCTATCTCAAAGGCTTGCTGGTAAGCCTAAGAGGCTTGGATCTCATGTACTTTCTTCAGGCCTTTTTTTTTTTTCCCCCCTTTTCTTTTCCTCTAAAGTGAGACTGAGGCAAGTGTGTCATCTAAAGCTCTTTTATTATCTGGGAGTTTTGTATGTTATCAGCCTGTGTTCTCTGCAATACCACTGAGTGTATACTTGCTGCAGGGAAGGGGGGGGATCTCTTACTCGTAAGTTGTCCAGTCAGTTACTGATACTGTGCTAAAATTACTGACAGGCTTGTGCCACTGCTAAGACGACAAATTGGTTAATAAAAAGGCAGAAGTGTAGTCAGTAGATAGCTTAAAGAAAACCATCTGAGTCTATACCATAAATTTCAGCAAATCTATTAGTACAGTAATGCCAGTGTTATCTTTTATTTTCCTTTGGGATTTCGACCCTTCCTCCTGCTTTATTTCTCCAGCTACTTTGCAAATTGGACCTGAATTAAAATGGGAGGGAGGGAAGGAGAAAAGATTACTTTTCTGTATTTAATCTGGCTGTTGTTCATTCTGTGAACATGCAGCCAATGTGAGGTTGGTGCCTGATGATCCTGCAATTTGCATTTTTAGAAATGGTATTGAAGTTTGCTGCCTTTCAGATCCAGGCTGAGTCCGACAATGAGAGCTTGGGATGGAGGCTAACAAGCTGAATACTGTCTGTCATCACATTGAATCAAACTGCGTACTGAAACGCTTGTTTGAGGCACTGGGCAAGTGCTCCTGTGAGCAGACCTGTGTCCTTACAGCTGCAGGTACTGACTTGTAGACCATAATGCTGGCCACCTTCTCCAGGCTCCTATAAGAGCATTGGCATTTCGGAAGGAGCACCCATTTTCTGCCCTGTTTTGAATATGAGCTAATCAATTGGCTAGTCTTGAATGTTTACAGGCCCATCGTTACTATAGTATCCACACGTATTGCGGTCCTTAATGTGTTTGTACTCATGTGATCAGTCTTACCTGTAGAAGTGGTGTTACCCATGTTTTCTTTGTGGAGGGCCAAGTCTGTACTGTGGAGGTCTGTTGGAAAAAACAGCACAAAGTGAGAATGCTGTGGCCACCTAACAGGGACAGCTCTGTGTAGGTCCCCTTTATTCCTTTCTCTGTTATGGCTGTGCTTGCATCACACACCTGAACTGACATTGAACCCAGACGCTGGCACGGCAGTCCTCTGCTGTCTCTTTTTATGTGTGTACGAATCGATAGATGCCCTGCGGAAGGTCAAACAGTTTTAGTTAATGTTGTGTGGTGTCCTTTGCACAGGAAAGGAGTGAAGGAGGAGAATTCCCACGCTTGCAGTAGATGGGAAAGCTATTGGTGCTTGTTTCTAGTTTTTTGGCTGCTGCCTCTGAGACCAAGTTTCTTCGTGCGTTTCTGTTTTCCCCTTTGCTTGCTCTCTGTGGAAAGGGGGACCACAGGTGTCCAGGATGTTTGGTTTCCATCTAATCCTATGTGGTTTCAAGACCTGAGAAAAGCAGTATGGGCGTAATGGTGTCATCCTGTGGCATGTTACAGCACAAGCTTCATTCAGGCTTGGCCCAGCAATATTTGGGCTGTGTGAGGATGGGGGCTGACCTGTCCCAGAGGAAGATGACCTCTGCTGTAAATTGTGCCTAAGCTAAGCATCCACAAGGGAAAGATTAGATACAGAATTTCACAGGCTAGCTAGTGTTGTCCTCTGGGAGCTGCCATTACTCTTGTAGTGGTGGACAGGGCAGTGCTGTGGGAAGGCTTTTGTGGGATGGTAGGAACAGGTGAGTGAAGTGCTGTTGGAAGGAGAGAGATGGTGCAAGGCAGCTGGAGGCAGCATTGATGCAGACAGGCAGCAACATGGAGACTGTTCCTGCTGTTGCATGTAACAGAATCATAGAATGGCTTGGGTGGGAAGGTACCTTAAAGATCACCTAGTTCCATGCTCCTGCCCTGGGCAGGGATACCTTCCACTAGACCAGGTTGCTCCAAGCCCCATCCAACCTGGCCTTGAACATTGCCAGGGGGGGGGCGCCC